GTCATCCTTATTAAACACCATAGAGCTACAATTTTTTTTCATGTTGCATGTTGTATTTTCTCCTTTTAAGGAAGCTTGAAAGTTGGCTAAGAGTTTTCACCCTGGGATCTCTTCTTAGGTTTTTTCTGATTCTTACATTTCAAAGTCAAATTTTCTGTTCAGCTCTGGTCTTTTCCTCAAGAAACTCTGAAAATCCTCTAATTCATTAAAGGACACACATGTACTTTTGCTGTGTCAGGTGAGGCCTGGGAGGGAACCATTCCTTCCTGATGTAGGATTCAGTTTGCATCCTCCATGTTTTTAGGGACACATTCCCAAATCAAGTTCCTTGAGAATAGCACCAGACGCTTTCACGCCAGATGCTTTCTTCAACAGGTCTTCAAAAGCAGAACAGGTCCAGGGGCTGGAGCTCTGGCTCCTGCTCGCTGTTTCTGCTGCTCAGCTTTGGCTCCTTGACTCTTGTACTGCTTGAAGTCCCCAATTAAAAACAACTTCAGGGCCAGTCAGCTTGCAGTCTTTTCTTCTTCATTCCCCTATCCTTGTCGAGGGCCGGCTCTCAATAGAACTCTGCCTCTTTCTGCACCACTATTTATACTGCTCTTGACTCCTGTGGCAATGCAGGCAATGCACACCGCTGGGCCCGGCTTCCCCCACGCACCTTGGCCACAAGTGCACTTCTACCCTCTTGCCTTTGCGCTGCACATGGGGTTTGTGGCAAGTGCCCTGGTCCTTCCCACATGTTTCTGCCTGCCTGAGTAGTTTAGCTCTTTGAACCCTGGGGGTATGCCCCAGTCCTGGTTATTTTGGGGCCGGCAAACATACAGGCTGGGGGTGGGAATGGCTCTGGGCTTAATTAAAAAAGAATTCTTAGGGGCAGCTAGGTAGTCCAGCTGATAGAGCTCAGGCCTTGGAGTCAGGAGGAAAAATTCAAATCCAGTCTCAGACTTGACACTTAACTAGCTGTGTGACCCTGAGCAAGCCACCCAATCCAGACTGCCTCACCAAAAAGGAAAAAAAATTCTTAACTTGTAATCTGAGAATTATTTTAAATATATACACATCAATATCTGTATTTCTTTTTTAAAATTTTTTTTTTAGGCAATTGGGGTTAAGTGACTTGCCCAGGGTCACACAGCTATTAAGTGTCAAGTGTTTGGTCTGAAGCCAGATTCAAACTCAGGTACTCCTGACTTCAGGGCTGATGCTCTATCCACTGTGCCACCTAGCTGCCCTCAATATCTGTATTTCAATATAATTAAAATCCTATGTATTTTATTCTATGCAGTTCAAATATTCAAAGAAGGTTATCTCAATACAAAAAAAATTAGGAACCTGGAGTGTGTGGTGGTGTTGAGGTTTAGAGGTCTAGGAGTGCCGGACCCCAAAATCATAACAGGCAAGTCCTGCCCAAATGAATTCAACCCAAGCTTTCTTTCAGGCAAAGACAAGATTTATTAAAGATCCACCACAATGGCCAGACTCTTAAGGAATCTAAGCATTTGTGTCACTAACGCAAGTGGGCCAGATTTTAAGAATCTGATCCTGTCTATTCTTCTAATTGGCATTTGTATGGCACTGATAGAAGTCTATGGTTCCAGATAATTATTTGATTTAGGATTAAAAATTTCTTGTAATTCATGTTCAAACCATGACCATAAATCTGTATCTGCAAACATTATTTTGAGGAATCTGGCCCCTAAAATCTCACAGGATCTATATGGAGGCCAGGACAATTAAAGCAACTTTATTTTTAAGATTCTTTTGGATTATAACACAAACGAAGTCATGGCCCAAAACAAAAGATCAGGTAAAGATCTTTGTCACACTCCTTCTTTTATTGTAAATATCAACTAATAATAAAAACACTAATCTACTTCTTTCATTTTTATGCCTCTGGCCAGCACAGAAGTACCACCTCTCTATAGCTGAATGAGTGAATGAACAAAGAATGAATGATTTTGCTTGAATGAGGGAGCTGGGAAGGTAACAAAGTCTTTCTTGTGAGGAATAGAAAGTAGTCATGAATAAGCCTTTCTTTTTCTTAAAGCCACAGAAAAAGAAAAACAAACTCTTCAGCCTGGCAGTTTAAGGTCCTCTGTTCTGTAGCTACAACCTACTTTTCTCCAACTTCATCTCATAGTGTTCACTTTAGTTTCAACAAAACTAGACTAGTAGCTGTTTCCTGAATTAATAGCACCTCCAGAATTTACATAAGCCATCTCTCTCATGTTCATCTCTCTTGTCTCATTTCTTCTTCTCAAAATCTTTATCTTCCTTCAAGATTCAATTTCAGGCATCACCTCTGTGAAACTTTCCCTGATTCTCCAAGATTATTAATGCTCTTTCCCCCCTCAAATTCCTTTATATGTACTTATCTGTAACTGTAATATTCCATTAGTAGAATGCAAGCTCCTAGGGAACAGAAACTATTTCATTTTTGGTTTGTATATCCTTAGTGTCTTGTACACAATAGGCACTTAAATATTTGTTGAATGAATGAATAAGGGAATGAAAGAGAGAGATGGCTCGGTGGGGAAAGTACAAGAGTTGGAGTCAGAGGTTTTAGATTCAAATTCCAGCTCTACAACTGTGTAACTTTGAGCAAGTCATTTCTCTCCAGCCTCAGTATCCTCATTTATAAAATGAGGGGGTTAAACTAAATTTGCCTTCTAAGTTACCTTGCAGTTTTACATCCATGATTCCAAGGTCCTCTGTGCTAGGGGACTTTAACTCCAAAAGCCCATGAAACTGTATAAAACCCCAGCTGCACTGACAAGTACCCTAAGTGCAAGAGTTCCAAGTTCTTTTTGGATTAAGATTTGCATAACCTACTAAGTAGAAGAAAGATATTTCATTGCACATAGGTGTTTAATTTTTTTTATAATCTTGCTCTAAAATTATATGAAATAAATACCACACACAAGAAATAGTAGAGATGAAGCCAGTTTGCAGATAGAGGAGGCCATGCAACAGAGGTGCCTCAGTTACCAGTTCAAACAAGATAACAGTATGGATAATGCATGGTCCATGAGAAACAAAGTTTTTAAGATTAGCTGCAACTTAACATATCATAAAGAACATGGAAGAAATGTCTACACTCATCAGAATGTTGGTCTCCTACAAAATCTAAAGAGTAGAAATTTACTGTAACCAAGTATGGAAAGAAATATAGATATAGATATAGATAAATATATATGCACATAATACCATGACAAATGAGAAACTGTATAGAAGACAAGTATGACAAATGTACTGGAAGTACTCTAGCCTACAAACAGATGCTAGGCAGGTCATGTAGCAAGGATGAGAGAGAACATATGGACTGCTCAACCATCAGATTAGATAGCACAGGACTAAACATGGCCAACCTGGAGGGCAAAACTTGATGGGGTGAGTACCATTTGGCTATATGGGCAAAAATGGAAGAGGCGAGCACAAGACCTTCACTTCTGGTATTCAAAGATCTGCGCATAGATCGAAACGAGCAACAACAACTTTAATATTAATATAGGATGGATAAATTCGTGATTAATAATTTCTTTTGCTTAGCTTTTAACAAAGAATTCTATTTTAACAGAAAAACAACTGAAAGGAAAGAATGCTATATTTTCTTTGACTCAATCACCATACTTATGGTAAATCTATAAAAACAGATAAATCTATTTCCCTACATGTGAGATCCTATCCCCTTTAGAATGTAAGCTCTTGAAGGGAGGGGCTGTTTTTGCCCTTCTCTGTATCCCCAGCGCTCAGCAAAGGGCCTGGCACCTAAGAAACACTTAATAAATGCTTGCCAGTTGACTGAGTTTTGGAAGCCTGCTACTAGAACTAGAAGGCACAAGAGCAGATGTCAACACCTACCTGGAGACAGTTTACTTGAATTATAGTATAGCATAGTATGTATTGGAAATAATAGTCTTTAGAAAGCTAGATTTGCTAACTCAAATCGTAAAAGGAAGCAAATGTCACTAGATATATTGTTCTACATTATACATGGCCAGGAAACATATAATCCCACCAATTAAAAAATAGTAAAAAGAAAAAGCATTCCTGGGTTGAACAGTGATAGGTAAATGAATACGTACCCCCTCCCTCCATTCCCCCACACAGAGGCAGTTTAGGGAGGGGGAAAAAAAGCACCATTTGTGAGTTTATTAACCTACGACATGGTACCTGCTGAAAATACAGACTTCAAATAAAATAAGAACAGGGGCAGCTAGGTGGTGCAGTGGATAGAGCACCGGCCCTGAAGTCAGGAGGACCTGAGTTCAAATCTGGCCTCAGACCTAACACTTACTAGCTGTGTGACCCTGGGCAAGTCACTTAACCCCAACTGCCTAAAAAATAAAAAAAAAAATTTAAAAATTAAAAAAAAAACAAATAAAATAAGAACAACTTAGCAGTTATCCACAGATCCATAGCAGGTTATCAAGGGAAACTAGATGCTTTAGAGGTTAGGTGCACATCTTTTGCACATGATTGACAGAAGATAAAGCAGTTAGGAGGAGTAGTGAATAAAGTGCTGGATCTAAAATCACAAAGTCCTGAGTTCAAATTCAGTACAAGACAATTAGTAGCTCTGTGACCCTGGCAAGTCATATAACCTTTTTCTGCATCGATTTCCTCATTTATAAAATGGGGGTAATAATAGCACCTGCCTCTGAGGGTTGCTGTGAGGATAATGTTTTTTAAAAACTTTGCTAGCTATTATTAGTAAGATGACCAAGACTTTCTTTCCAAAATGTGTCCCTTGATGTCCCTGTCAGATACATTACTGGTTTTGGTGGAACTTAGGTCTGACTCAGCGTAACAATTTATGTTTGAAGGTTATAGCTGTGTAAATGACTTTCCCTCCATGAGACCATCATTTCAGCAAAGTATCTGCAGTTTTTCTAAGTAGTTGCTGGAAATCACACCAATCTTTTGTAACACTTCCTCTTTATCCCACTTCCCTATCAACTTGGTAGCATTATTAGGGATGATATGATATGATATCTTACCTCTTGAAGCACTCTATTGTTGATTCCATCTCCAGTGCGTCTCAACTGCAAGGCCAATCTCTGTAGCATTTCCTCTTCATCGTAGGTACAGCTACTGTTGTTCTCTCTCAGCTGAGAAAGGCTGTAATCACCTGTGTGGGTAGATTTGGGACATGCTTTTAATATCTAGAAGATTACCTACCATGAGTTATTTATAGTGACAAAGAAATCATCCTGGAGGACAAGAAGGATGGATCCTCATCACTATCCTAATAATCCCCCAAAAGCATTTACAGTAAAACCTTAATTAACTGGGATGCTGAGGGAATTGAGTTTTCAGATAATTTAATTCTTTGGTATATTATTTAACTTTTTGGTTAACTAAGCATTAATCAGTGAACTGGGCCTTGATGTTTCTACTCCTGTTGAAAATATTTCTAATATAGGGGCAGCTAGGTGGCACAGTGGATACAGCACTGGCCCTAGAGTCAGGAGGACCTGAGTTCCAATCTGGTCTCAGACCACAGACTTGACACTAGCTGTGTGACCCTGGGCAAGTCACTTAACCCCAATTGCCTTGCCAAAAAAAAAAAATTCTAATATGAATTAACAATACTCTTTGTCACTTTAGTAGGTATAGTATAGTCACTGAGCTTGTGACTTCATTAGAACAGGGAACTCCCAGCTAAGGAAATTCTCTCTACTAAAGCAAATCAGCATCTTCTTTATGACTTACAGCCTTAAAGAGCTGCCTGGTCTACTCAGAGGTTAAATGACTTATCCACAGTCACACAGCCAGTATGTGTCAGAGACAGACTTGAACCTAGGTCTTTCAGGCTTTGAAGCTAGCTCTGTATCCACTATGTCACACTGTAGAACACTACTGATGATTTAAACTTCCATGATAATTCAATCCCTCAAAAGTCATCATTAAGACTTCAAATCATAATTACACAGAACTGAGATATATAGATGATATATTTATAATTCTCCCAGTTACAAATTGGGATAAATATGGACATACCTTGAAATTATTTTCAAAATTATATTTTTTGTCATTTGTCTCTTTCTTATAACAGCTGAGTTCAGAAGAAAAAAAATTATGTTCAAGAGTTCCTGTTAATGAAGATGTTTCAGTATTAAATATATAATTGAATGTGGTGCTTTACCAGATTAGGCATGGTATAATGTGAATTAGCAGTCCCTTTCCTCTAGGAAATTATAATCAGAGACAGATATTTTGTCATATTATAGGTTACACATAGCATAAAGTCCTTAAAACAAAAATCTAACATGATCATTAAATCATTATATTCAAGTTATGGCAAAGGCATATGTGATGTCACAAGCAAATCAGTAGAAGTAAATAAGCTTACTTTTACTGAAGTCTCCCTTAGTAGAATAGCTAAATGGGAGATTCATCACACACATTTAATATTTTACACGCGCTATCTTGTTTTACCATTTTAAAATCATATTTAGACTGTTTTCCTGACTGGAATGTAATCCTTGAGGTCGGTGATCATGTCTTATACTTCATCATAGTCCTAATAATTAGTGTTACTGCTGTGCACATAGTAGGCAATCAATGTATATCTGCTGCAAATGATATCAAAGGGGAAGAAGAAAGAACATGGCCTAGGATACCAAAGAAAACCTTCTTCGTGGTTTTGTATAAGGATAGCACAATCCATTTATTTATTTTTAATTGTTTTATTGTAAATGTAATCGTCAACAGATATTTTAATAACAATAAATAAGAGGTTTGTATAAGGTGACCTTTTGTTATATAGTTTGTTTTTAAATATATATATGTATATATAGTGTATATGTAATATCTACTTTTGAAATCAGTTCTTTATTCATAACAATAACAAAAACATTTTCCCCACACCAGGGATCTATAATGTTTTAAGGGAAAGGTTTTAAGGGAGAGGAGGCATTTTTACCAATATCCTTAAATTATGGCATGAAGACCTGAATTTATTACTATTTATAAAGACCTATATTGATGTAGTTTATATACTATTTGTGCATGTGCTCTTAATATGACTATGTAGTTTATCAAGTTCTAACCATTTCAAGTGATGCCAAAGGCTTTAATAACAAGCTCATCTGTACTGTTTTATACAAGTTAATCCAATAAAACAGTGAAATTATTATCTCCAGAAGGCTTGAACACAAAGCCCATCTTGGGAACTAGAAAGAGAGGTCCAAAAAGCTTCTTTAGTTTTCTCCCATTAGTGCATCAGCACAATGTACAATTAGGTTATCTGTCTTTTGGAAAGGCAGCTTGAACCCGGCCCTAAGGGGATGATGACATGTGGGACCAGAAGAAGCTGAGGTTACAAAGACAGAAGCATCAAATCAAATGAGATAACATGTTAAATGTTTTGCAAACCTTAAAGCACTACATAAATGCTGTCTAGCTAACTAGCGAACATGACAGTAGCAAACATTGGTCATGGGAATTTCCAAACAGGGCCAAGAACTAAAGAAAAAAGGCTCAAATGGAAAACTCTGATGAGGACTTTGCATAGTTGGGGGGAGGGGGTAAAGAAGGGGTCCACCAGTGATTCATTCCTCTTAGTAAGTAATGCTCATTAATAAGATGAATCAATTCAAAAGTACAGATTCCTTCATTTATTCTGTTTAAAACAGAGATGCTGCTGGGGAGCCAGCTGCCAACACAGGTTAACTGAGTCTTATGTTTCACTATTTTTTTAAAGGCAACCCTTGACCCCAAAGGGTTCAAGGAAGAAAGGGAACCATGTGTATAAAAATGTTTATAATAGCTCTTTTGGTAGTGGTAAAGAACTGGAAAGGAATGCCCATCAATTGGAAAATAGCTCAATAAATTATGGCATTATCGGAGTAATGTAATATTATTGTGGCGTAAGAAATTATGAAAAGGATGGTTTCAGAGAAACCTGGGAAGACTTATGCGCTGATAGAGTGAAATGAGAAGAACCAGGAGAATAATTTATACAATAACAGCATAGTAGAGAAAAACAAGGAAAGACAACTCTGATCAAGACAACGAAATGACTCACAACCATTTGGAGATCAATGTTGAAGTATGCTGTCCACCTTCTAGGAGAGGACGGATTCAAAAAGGAGGAATAAGACATACATTTTTGGACAAGGCCAGTGTTTGTTATAAGGGTTCTCTGTGTGTGTGTCTCTCTCTCTTCCCCCCCCCCCACCGCCTACCCCCATGAGGTGGGAAAAGAGAAAAATAAATGTTTTGAAAAAAAAGTTTAAGAAAAAAAGCAGACTTCGGTTCACCTTTGTATGTAAGACTTTAGGTTAAATAAAGCATATCCTCTAGTCCCACCCTCCCGTTTTAGAGCAGGTGTTATCATTTTGTTCATCTCTGGGGGAAAAAAAATGCCCTTGAGGGCAGAGACTGTTTTTGCTTTCTCTTTGTATTTTAGTGCTCAGCACAGCGCCTGGCACGAGGAAAGCACGTAATAAGTGTGTCGATTTAACGTTCTTAAAAGCACCTTTCACATGGCAGTCCCTTGTTTGTAAAATTTCATTATCCTAATACATTGGTCCCCACCCAAGAACTGCAAGTGGCTGATTTCCCCACCCCCATATAATTCTTGCCTTCTCCGTCTGCTGCCCTTTACTTATGTGGTTTGGGATCATGTGGATGAACATCTGGATTACCAGAGGATCATCTATGACAGGAAATAGCACTCATTTTCAAAGCGGGAGGCTCCGGGCAGCACACAGCTTACTGACCCCCTTCTCTTCTGGGAAGGAACGGATGGAGAGCCCTTTACGAGACACCTAGTCTCGGGACAAAGACCCAGGCTCTGCCTGGGGTCGAAAAGCTGAGGAGGATGAAGTGACCCTCACGGACAAAGGCTGCAGGGACTGCTAAGGGCCTTCAGAAATCAAGTGGTTTTCCCCAAGGGCTTTACTTTGAGCAAAAGAGAGCAGAGGGAAGAAGAAGATACGGTTTTGCTTTTCGTTTCGTGGTCAAGTTCCGTTTTCAATTTTTATGGGGACCTTTTGAACCCCACCCCCGCCCCAACCGCCAGCTGAATCGCCGTGAAACGGTCTGATGGCAGAAACCGGGAGAGCTCCCGAGGCGGCGGTTTTAACCGTTGTGGGTGACGTAACGCCGGGAGCAGCCAATGCGGAGAGTGCGAAGCGCGCGCGCCCACCGGGCTCAGACGAGGAACACAGTACCGAGAGCCAGACGCAGCGCGGCTGCGCACTAAAGCGGCTGCGGGAGGCGGGGATTGTTAGGGGGGAGGGGAAAAGGAAGATGAGGTTTCAGGGTGGGGCGAGGATTGGCTCGCGCATGCGCAGCGCGAGCCGGAAGTCGCGCCCCTCCCCCGCCGCTGTGGTGGCGGTTGGAGGGAACTGGAGGGCGGGGAAAGGCTGCAAAAAAGGCGGGGAGGAAAGGCGGGAAAAGGAGCGAATAAGGCGGGAAAAGGATAAAGGGGAAGGTGGCGCCAGAGTACGGGATTCAGCAACCTTGCCCTGTGGCAGTGAAGGGACCTGTCTTATCTCTCCCTGACTCTGCAAGGACGGGAGCAGAAAATAGCCCCTAAGCCTAAAGAGTTTTTCGCCGCTCCCCCCACCTCTCACCCCGTGCTGAGTGTCTCAAACTCAGCATCCGCAGCCCCCCACCCTCTATGACCCATAAATGGGGAAAAAGGAGAGGTGTGGAGGGAGAGAAAGAAATCTGTCACTGTCCAGCTCTTAAGGTGCTATCTGCACGTCGGACCTTCGTATAATCAATACTAGTGGCTTACTTGGGTGAAGGAATCACTAACAGCATTATGCATATTCAGAAAATGGGAGGAGACCGTTTCCTTGGGAGCGAAAACAAAAGTATTTTTATGAGAATAATAGCATCCTAATCACTGAACTCTGGGAGACTGATTATCTGTATTTATCTATCTAATCTGGATCTGTCTACACAAACACAAGCTACTAATTCTCTTTCCTGAACCCTCTGCCTTTAAAAAGGAAAGTACGTTGAGAAAGCACTTCAGGCTTATATTGGACGCCCCACACCTACCGAAAATGACCAGGGATGCTGTGAACGGGGCGGGGGGGGGGGGGAATGGACATGAAAATTCATTGAAAAAAAAAACTGAAATGCTCTACTGATTATTGTCCTCTCAAGTCCTCTGGTCTTATCATGGGGTAGAGGTGGACCCGGGTTCTTAAAGGGCAGGACAGCTGGTGGGACCCACCAAGGCAGAAAAGCCCAAGGTATAGCCTAGTAATGAACTATGCAGTTCAAGGTCTTTTTTTTTTTAACTAAAAGGACCAGTCTAGATAAGTTTAGAGAGCTTCATCACCAGGTCAGCTATAGAGTAATAAAATTTTTGGACACAATAATTCTGGAAAACCAACTATTAATTGGTAACAGGATTATGATCAGTGTCATTGGAAGCAATACCTATACTGATGAAATTACAGAACGTTGAAGTACCCAATTATACAGCTTATTTATTATTTTTAGATAAAATGTGCAATTTCTGTGTTTTGTCAATCAATAAACACTTGGTAAATGTTTACTATGTACCAAGAAGATTGGGCCTACCCATTTTTAATATTTAGATAAAATGTGAAAATCTTAGCTAATTATTTTATCTTAGTTAATTATTAAGTTAAAATCTGGATTTCTAAGGTCTAGATTTTTCATTTTTCTTATAGGTGCCGTTGAATGGACATAATTTGATTGAACCAATAACCCAATAATGATTAAATGTTATAATTCTGTTATTAAAGGATTAAAGGTTTGGGCCTAACCCTGTAGTTATTAAAATCCTTCGCCAAAGGAATTTTTGTTCTGATACTTAAACTATATATAATTTAACAACTGATAAGACTTTCACTGAATCTTCTTATTCTTATCCAAACACCACACAGAATTCTAGTGAATTCAGAAATAAAACAAAACTTATAATTTATCTGTTCTGTTATTAAATTCGTACTAAAACAGGTAAAACCAAGATAGGGCAGTTAGGTTTCTCATTGGAATTTGTCTTAGTTAGACAGAGATATATATATATTCAAGCCAAAAACAAAACCTAACTCTATTAAAGAAAATTTTGATATGTAAGCCTCAGTTTTGGTGTTTCTCTTCATTTTGTTTTTGTTTTTTTTGTAACCTTACTTGAACTTGATATTAATATAATTCTGTGTTGATGACATCCAAATTAGAAGTAGAGTAGTGCTATTGCCATGAAACAATTTTTAGGTTTTCTACAGCTTTTATTCAAGGTTTTAGGATAGAATTAGTGTTTGTTAATTTGCTTTTTTACCCTGTCTGGTTTCCCACAAACCAAGAGAGAGAAATTTTTTTTTAAAAAAGTAATTATTTTAGTTAATATAAACAATTCCTTACCTGAGTTTCTTGACATGTCTGAAAACCAGCTCTGCTCTGACAAGTTGGGTCATGTATGGCTTTTTGAAAACAGAATTCACTAACAATGTTATGCTTTATGTTTTGTAGCAATTTATTACCATGTATGGGTGATACAGGGCTGCTATAGCTCTACACACAGTGCCACCATGTTTCTTTTTTCTACTTGTTTACCTTCTATTGTAAAACAAATTAGCATATAGTTTTGTTGACATGTGAGAACCTTTTTCCCAGTAGAGACAAATATTGCTTTGGTTGAAAGGGTAGACTAGTTGATCTCTGAGGTTCTACTCTTTAATAATTGATTTTTTGCATATTGAGTCTATCCTATAAATTTCTCCTAGAGTAATTTATTTTCACCTTTCCGGTTCAATTCAGTTCAATTCAACAAGCTTTTTAAAAATTGTCCATAATATGAAAGGTATTGTGTTCATCCATGGGCATACAAAAATTAAAATGACACAGTCCTTACCCTCAAGTAGCTTAAGTTCTACTGGGGAAAGAGGCTTGGAGTGTGATTAAGGCAGAGGAGATCCAGACAAAACACTCTGAGAGAATTTAATGAGGAATAAAACAATTTCAGCTAGGGAGATGAGGAAAGACTTCATAGTGGAGCTGGCACCTGAACTAGTTTTTGAAAGTAGTGAAGGATCCTGAAAGAGGAATGGAGAGAAAATGCATTTGTAATGGGGGTCTGGCACATACATCTCCACATAAAGGACACTCAGGAGCTGCTTCTGGGAAAATCATGATGATAGGTGAGAGAAATGCATGTGTGGGCATTCTGTAACTGTTTCCCATTGGCATATCACATGTTTGGGAGGAGCCTTTTTCCATTACTGCCAGTGTCTTCAAAAGGGCCTGATTCAGCTGTGGCTACCTCTGTCTTTGTGGCATTAGAATCTGGGGAAGCAAAGTGACTCCTTTACTAATCCCACAAGGTGAGACCTGTGATGCAGAGTTCAGAGTCTCAAATCTTTGGAATTTCAAGCACCTGGAGCATGGACCACAGAAATCTGGGAGTGCAGGCATCTAGGCTGGGTGTTGCATCTAGCCCAACACTGATGACCTAAGGAGCTCAGAGTAATCCTTAGGAATGACCTTCAGGGGGCAGCTAGGTGGCACAGTGGATAGAGCACCAGCCCTGGATTCAGGAGGACCTGAGTTCAGATCCGACCTCAGACACATAAAACTTACTAGCTGTGTGATCCTGGGCAAGTCACTTAACCCCACTGCCTAACTAAAAAAAAAAAAAAAAGGAATGACTTTCAAGACTGAAGTCCAACAGAAGCTAGCAGCAATGGCTCTTTGGTATCTGGACTTGGTGTAATCAGTGCCGTGTGGCAATTGAGATAGCCTAATTCCTCCCAAAAACAAGGTACTATATGGAGGAATCATGCCCCTGCGGTGATAGAGGGAAATGTTTGTTTGTTTTTGTTATATCTATGAATTAAATACTTCTTAGTAAAAGCTACCCAATGTTAAATGCTTAAGTAGAACTGGATCCTAAAGGCACTGGGCCCCTAAAATGGGTGGAACACAACTGGTCGGGGGCTTAAGCTAATGGTAGAAGAGAAAAGAGGTACCCACAAACCTCTCCAGGTACCTAAGAAAGGGGAAGATGCAACCCTCCTGGCCCTCAGGGCCAAAGCATGCATATTACACAAGGGATTCTCTACCTGTGACTTTCAATTTTGGATACCTTCCTTGATCATGGAAAGCTGACACACAAAAAAATATGTGCAGTTGTTTTTTCCCCCAGGCTTGCATGTCAGTTCCAAGGAGGTAATTCAAAACAAAACAAAACAAAACAAAACAAAAAAAAGCTTTCCATCTGTTGACTCTATGAGTTTTTAAATACTGATACTTGCTGAATTACTGAATTCTTGTTGATATTGAGTAATACAGGAAACATGGAATTTGCCTGAGTAGAATGCTGGTGTCTAATAGAAAAATGTTCTTTTTCTTCTTTTTGTATTTAAACATATTTAAAACTGCTTGCCTTATTGTGAGGCCAAAATGCACTGCAAATTCACAGGGTAAGGTTTGCCTGTGTGCCTAGAAACCCTAGGTATTTGACCTTATTTTGTTATTTTTCTAACTAAGCCTAGACATAATGGAGTGCTTTTGCAAATTCATAGTGGAGGAAATGAAAAATCAGGTTTGGGAAACAGCTAACAGTTCAGTTTGGCTGGAACTTGAAATATGACTGGAAAAGTAGGGGCGAAGCTAGATTGTAGAGTTGCTTAAATGCCAAGCTAATTAGTTTTTATTTCATTCCCTAGCGCTAGGCATTGACTAAGGGAATTGACTAAGATTTTTTTTTTGACAAAGTGGTGTCATGGTCAGAGTGTAGTAGATTATTTTGGCAGTTACATGAAGGAAGGACTGGGTGAGAAGAGACTATTGACAGAGAACTCAGAAAATTATTATTTTTATTCTTCTGTCCTCTAACTGAGCAGTATTGTCCAGCTGCTGAGGAGCAGGCTGCCAATTTTGCCTCGTTCCTGTTATAATAGAATACATTTTGGGGGACATAGAAGGTTTAAAACAGATTATAGTTATAGCAGAATGTGACTGGCTCAGAAGAATGAGACTTTCAGTTAGAATGAAGCTTTTCAAGAAATTATGGGATTGATGATTTGGGTAGGAGCTGGATTAGGCAACAGGTTGCTTTTAACTCTAAAGTTTCTGTAATTCTAGTATGCTCCCTCAGATTTGAAAAGTGTAACTTGGTGCAGCAGAAGTCTTGATTATCCTTTAGTGTTTTGTCTATAGAGTTTGTGTAGAGAATTTTATATCAACAATGTACATAACTGATAATATGTATGT